AATTACAAGCTGATTTTCTTTTAGTGTAGAGTCTTTTTTTGCGGTACTGGGGCTTGAACTCAGGGTCTACACCTTGAACCATTCCACCAGTCCTTTTTTTAGGGGATGGGTTTTTCAAGTGTCTTGTGAACTATTTACCCGGGCTGGCTTCAAACTGTGATCAACCTGATCTCTGCCTCCTGAGTAGCCAGGATTACAGGCATGAGCCACTGGTGCCTGGCAGCTTACAATATTTTATTCCCCCCGAACATGACTGTATATATTAATGTAATTTCACTCGTAATTGTCTTTTGCTTATTTTTATGCAATATATTGAGAATAAATTCCTTTGAATCTTTTAAAAAAAAAAAAAAAACCCAAAAAAGCTCTCATGCTTGCTAGGCAGGCACTCTACCACTTGAGTGCCCCGGCCCACCTTTTTTCTTTTTTTTTTCAATACTGAGGATTGAACCCAGGGCCTCACACAGGCTAAGCAAGCACTCTATCACTGAATTATACTCCCACTCCATTTTATTTATTTATTTTTATTTTGAGGCAGAGTCCTCGAAACTTGTGATCCTCCTGCTTAGTCTCCCAAGTAGCTGGGGTTTCAGGAGTGGGACACCGAATACAGTAAATTAATGTTTTTCTAATTCATTTAACAGGTTATAATCCACTACCATCATTTATTTAGATGCTCAAATTGCCCCTGGATTCTGTGTCCTTTTGACATAGCTTTTTCATTCCATAAAGATTTCTTGCTTTCTGGTATGACCAAAAAAAACACACTCAACTTGTATTTTTCCTGCCCCAGCCTGAAATTAGCCATTCCTTGTAAGAGTCCTGATGATAGTTAGAGCCAAGATAGGAGCATACATGTGCTCACAGGTTCTGGGATGTTGCTGCACCCAGGTATGCCAGGGGACAGAGCCAGGGAACACAAACATTTATACATCAGTCAAATATAAACATTTACATCTACATTTAATAATTTGAATTCGCTGGTAAATGGATGGAATTGGAGAACATCATTCTGAGTGAGGTTAGCCTGGCCCAAAAGACCAAAAATCGTATGTTCTCCCTCATATGTGGACATTAGATCAAGGGCAAACACAACAATGGGACTGGACTTTGAGCACATGATAAAAGCAAGAGCACACAAGGGAGGGGTGAGGATAGGTAAGACACCTAAAAAATTAGCTAGCATTTGTTGCCCTTAACGCAGAGAAACTAAAGCAGATACCTTAAAAGCAACTGAGGCCAATAGGAAAAGGGGACCAGGAACTAGAGAAAAGGTTAGATCAAAAAGAATTAACATAGAAGGTAACACACACACACAGGAAATCAATGTGAGTCAATGCCCTGTATAGCTATCCTTATCTCAACCAGCAAAAACCCTTGTTCCTTCCTATTATTGCTTATACTCTCTCTACAACAAAATTAGAAATAAGGGCAAAATAGTTTCTGCTGAGTATTGAGGGGGTGGGGGGGAGAGGGAGGGGGCGGAGTGGGTGGTAAGGAGGGGGCAGGGGGGAGAAATGACCCAAGCCTTGTATGCACACATGAATAATAAAAGAAAATGAATAAAAGAAAAAAATAATTTGAAAACCATGAATTCACACTGATACCTTTAATTCCAATCCAACTTTACAAGTTTATTCTATTTTTTTCCTCCATACTAGCTTTTTTTCCGTTTTTTTTTTTTTTTTTTTTTTTGCAGCACTGGGGTTTGAACTCAGAGCCTCATGGTTGCTAGGCAGTTGCTCTTATTTTGAGTCACTCCACCAGCCTGACACTTGCTTCTTCATTGAGAAACCTAGCTCCCATTACCCATAACAGGTTTACTTACTCCATCATTTTCCCTTATGTAACCAATTGTCCATTGTTGCCACTGCTACCCCTCCCCATACAGATACCCGCTTTACTTCACTTGGGATCTGATCCTCAGCCTTGCTCTATTTCCCACAACCCTGTTATATGCCATATGGACATATTCCTCACCTAGCCTGGACTCTGACTCCCACTGTCAGGCTGCCACCTGCCCCACCAACTGGAAACATTTCTTATCCTACTCAGAATCTGATACCCCATACCAAATTACACTCTACCCACCCACTCCAACTAGATATTCTCCCCATGAGGGTTACAGCTTGTACTAAGTTACCCTGGGCTGCCAACTCCCTAACACTGCTTGGGATACGAGGCCCTGAACTGGAGTTTCTCCAGTCTGAATGCCCTCTGCACCTGCTAACATTGCATGCCAGTTCAGGCCCCTCTGTAAATGCCCACTTCAGCCCATTTCAGCTCTAATATCTAATGCCAGGTCAACCCTCCTTATGGACAACTAATTTGCTCTACTCCACTTAATGGCTTTAGTATTGGACTATTCAAGGAAAGTGGAACTCAAGAGCTGGTGGTCAAGCTCAAGGTATAGGCCCTGAGTTCAAACCCCAATACCGCAAAAAAAAAAAAAAAAAGTATAATACCCACATTAAAAGGTTATTGTGAGACTTAACAATTAGCTGTGACCATAATCAAGGCTTACATTTACTATGTGCCAAGAATTAGCTGAGTACTACTTATACATAATCATGCCCCATCCCTATAAACAATCTAATGAATTTTAGAGCAATACTCCCATTTAATAGATTGGGGTATGTATAAAGCAAGCAGTATAGCATGAGGCATAAAATAATACGCAAATAAATGGATGCTATTACTATTAGTCCACAATTGGGCTAATCAGGATAATATGGACCAATGATTTCATGACAATTTACATTTTCTTAAGACATGGATGTACAATGAGATGCTGAATTTGTTTTTTACCTAAAGCAGTCATCTTTTTACCCCTACTGCACACATAATTGGTGCTCAGTTTTAAATGAATGACTGCTGAGATGGGCAAGGGTTTAAGAGAACTTAAATTGGACTTTTATTAACTCCTGATTTATAGGCCAGATTGCACAATCTTGACAATAATTTATTTTTAGCAGGTATCCAAAAATCTAAGCAAATGCTAATTTGAAAAATTAATGCTTTACTTAGGTAGACATAATATTTTCAAAGAAGCTGGGTGAGGAGACGAATGCCTGTAGTTCTAGCTACTTGGAAGGTAGAGATTTGGAGGATCGTGATCCAAAGGGTTCAAGAGACCCCCATCTCAACCAGAAACCTGGGCGTAGGACACCTGTCAACACAACTATTCAGGAAGCATAAAGAGGAGGATTGCAATGAGGTGGGCTCGGGCATAAATGTGAGAACTTATCTCAAAAATAACCAAAGAAATAAAGGATTTAGTCATGGTTCAAGTGGCTGAGCACCTGTCTAGCACACTCAAGGCTCTGAGTTCAAACCCCAGTACTGCCAAAAAAGAAAATAAATAGCATTATTTAAGTGTTAAAAGTCTTATTTTCACTCCATATTTATAGTGGATATTGGTTGGTTTTGCCAATCCAGCATTTATTTACCTCCTGTGATCTACACATACAGCTAATCATTGTTAAGATTATCCACTCAATTGTGCAGAGAGGAAATAAGATCTCTAAGTCAATCACAGTTTTACAAGCCTGAAGGCATAAATCAGGGTACAGCATATAATCCAATTTAGACCAATGAAATGTAATCAACTTGAAGCCAAAAAGACATAAAGGACCCTAGACGCTGCACTGCAGCCATCTTGCAGAAACAACAGCTTATTCAAACCTAGAGTCAATACACAAAAGAGCAAGCCTGGGGGTGGGGGAGAAATGGGACACAATTTAGCACTTCTATTAAGTATTATCATTCCATTCTCAATCTCAGAACTGACTTCAAAGTCGTCTTCCTCCAAACTAACTACTCTGACATCTGTCACTCAAGGAAACCTCATCAGGTCCGAAAATGTAGAGTGTATGTAGAGAGGAAAAGGAATGGGGCTCTTTGAATAGAAAATAAAAAGAAATATAGGCCTGGGAGTGTGGTTCAAGTGGTAGAACACCTGCTTAGCAAGTGCGAGGCCCTGAGTTCAAGCCCCAGTATTGTAAAAATAATTCAAGTAAGTGTGCCTGAGCTCGAGCTATAGGCATACACATGGTGATGGAATAAGAGACTGAGAGAATGAAAGAAAGGCACATTTTGTGTGTCTTTATTGTAAAAGGCTTTATAAGAAAGGGGAATCTGGATCCCTGAAATATCTTTTGTAAACTTGTACTACTCTGTCTTGCTCTTTTGGCAAAAGGGCATCTTTCTTAAAAACTAAGCTCTTTCCAGCCTCAAAGCAATTACACTACTGCCTGGCTACTCTTTTCCCAAATCCTCTGGTAACTGGCTCCTTCCTCACCTTTTCAATCTCTCTTCAAATATCACCTCTTCAGAGATGCTTTTCCAGTCCAACCAACTTAAAGTGGGCCTTTCCCTTTTTCCACCCCAAGTTATTTCCTGCGAAGCTTTTATCACCAGCTGTATGTACTTGTTTTACAACTATTTCCACCGCTAGAACGTAGGCTCCCTGAAAACAGGAATTCTGTCTTTAACACCTTTTTCTTTACACTCAAACTCTAGCAGAGTGGTAGGTAGTAAATTAGTATTTATTGGAGGAGAGAAAGTGACAGAAAGTGAGAAGATGGCTTAGGAAAAGGGCGCTGTAGGCTGGCTGTTTCGTACAGAAGTTTAAGTTTTATGTTGGCGAGGATTCAGGGTATTTTTTGGCCACGCGTGGGGTCGGCAGACGGACATAAATCACGGCGTGACCAACTTTTGGGTTCCCTTGGGGGAAACCAAACGTGCGGGCTCTCTTCAAATCCTGCGGTATCTGGTCCCGTGGCCCTAGCGCGACAATCTTCCGCGAAATCCTCTAATGCTCCTCTAATTTAACGCCCGAGCCGAGCCACTCAGGAAACAGCCAGTGTATCTGAAAAACGACCGTTTTACCATAGGTACTCGACACAAGCCCGGTGTCCTGGCGCCAGCTCACTGGCAGGCTGACGCACATCTCCCCGCCCCCAGCCCGCCGGAGACCCCAAACGGCCCCCTTCACTTACGCTTGTCTCCGGGCTATGAGCCGGTGCATGGGAGTCGCCATCTTGGGACGGCCGAGGCCTGCCGCGCAGGATTTTGGGAAACTCCTCGAGGGGTGGGGACTTGGAATGCGCACGCGGCAGACGTGGGCGGAGCCAGACGGGCCGCGAGGGCCTCAGTGGGGGCCGCCTCCCGGGATGCACCTTGGCGAAAGCAGTGGGGGGAGGGGTGGTGTGTGTCCCTCGTGAACAGGGCTTTGAAGGCTGACCACCGGGAAGAACATTCTGGAAGGAGGGAAACACGTGCACACATAGACAAAGAAGAATGAGGGTCAGCTGTGCGGTGTTAAGAAAACTAGGAGGGGAGGAACTAGGAACGTGTTGAGCAGGATTTAGGCCGTCAATTGAAAGAATGGCTTTAGCAAAGCGAAGTGCAAGCATATGTTACCTGTTTCTAGTTTTTATGTATTTCACAGGGATGTTAGAGGGCCAAATGTGATTTAAGTACAGCTGCTTTGTCTAATGAAAAAAAGCTGTTCAAATATTTTAGTCACACCTACATTTAGGGTCAGATCATGGAGATAAGGCTCTTAAATCCACATTTTTGAAATATGCATGACTTTCTGAAACACGTATGCATGTTTCTAGGTCATTGTATTTAATCAATTAGTAATTATTTAGTACTATTTTACCACTTTTAGGAGCTAGAGTTAGCGTTAAATTAAGTCCTTGTACACATGGAACTTTTTACAGACATTAAGCAAGTAAGGGCTCTATGGTTTGAATGTCTAGCAGTGTTGCACACTTAATTTCCAAAGTGGTATATTAAGGGTATTTGCAAGTGGAACCTGTAAGAGGTGATTGGGTCATGGGAACTCTGCCAGTATGACTAAGTCTATTCCTGGATTAATGAATTATTGAGGGAGTGGCTTTGTTTTAACTAGCAGGGAGAAGGATCAGAAGAAAACAGGCTAGGTGTGAGTTCTGATAAAGTAGCAGGGAGATAGGGATGGCATAACAGAGAGATAAAACCTAAGGAATCTGAACATGGAGAGGGTCACATAGCACTGAGGAGGGGAAAGTCACTTGGCAGTGGGGTAAAGTAGCTTGTAGAATTGAATATAACCATGTATGGATTAGACCTTGCTTTTTGCTTCTGTAACCTGCTTGCAAGGGTATGTAAGGTGAGACCTTTGTTCTTGGTGGCTCAGCCTTTGGACACAAGTCGGCTAGGTCTGTGCTGGCACAATAAAATGCTTCCTGCTAAACTGCCTCAGTGTCCTGTATCTCAGCTTGAGATTCCCGCAACAATAAAAGTGAGTTCTTTCTGGCACACTTGCTTGCTCTCTCCCCGTGTGATGTATATCCTACATTTTGTTATAATGCAGCAGGAAGGTCCTCACTAGAACACTGGCTGATGCCTGTGGCATACTGTTGGACTCTGTACCTCCAATACGATGAGCTAAACTTCTGGTTTTTTAAATAAATTACCTAGTTTCAGGTATTTTTTTTAATAGCAACAGAAGAGACAAAGACAAAGGCTATTTCAAATAAATATAAGTACTCTAAAGAAAAATAAGGGTAAGGGGTAGAAAGCGATTAGCTTCGGGAGCTAGAAAAGGTTATGATGTGACCTTTGAGTATATCTTGTTCTTTAACATGTCTCTTTTGTATTTATTTATTTATTTTGTACTGGGGTTTGAACTCAGGGCCTTATGCTTGCTTAAGCAAGTGCTGTACTATTTGGCTCCAGCCCTTTTTGCTTAAATTATTTTTCAGATAGGGGCTCTTCCTTTTTGCCTGGGTTGCCAGGCAAATGAACTGTGATCATTATTATGCTTCCTGTGTAGTTGGGATCATAGACATGAGGACCATGCCCTGTTTATTTGTTGAGACGGGCGTTTCGGTAACTTTTCCCCCAAACTGTCCTCAAATCTTGATCCTTCCAGTCTCTACCTCATGAGATTATGTGCATGAGCCAACATGGCAACTAAAATGGATATTAAAGCCAGGCATTGGTGGCTCACACTTGTAATCCCAGCTACTCAGGAGGCAGAGATCAGGAGGATCAAGGTTCAAAGCCAGCCTGGGCAAATAGTTCCTGAGACCCTATCTTGAAAAAACCCATCCCCCCCAAAAAAGGGCTGGTGGAGTGACCCTGAGTTCAAACCCAGTACCGCCAAAAAAAAAAAAAAAAAAAAAGATATTAACAGCCAAGCATTGTGGTGCATGCCTGTAATCCCAGCACTTGATAGGCAGAGGCAGGATAATCAAGAGTTCCATGTCAGCCTGGGCTACATAGCAAGCTCCAGGCTACCCTGGCCTACATAGGAAGACCCCCATCTCAAATAAAATTAAAAAATTTAAAAATTGGTGCTTGCTTCAGCAGCACATATACTAAAATTGGAAGGATACAGAGAAGATTAGCATGGCCTCTGAGCAAGGATGACATGCAAATTTGTGAAGTGTTCTGTATTTGAAAAAATTAAAAATTGGCCTGGTGCCTGTGGCTGTGCCTGTAATCCTAGCTACTTGGTTGGATCAAGGTTTGAAGTCAGTCCAGGCAACAGCTCACAAGATCCCATCTCTAAAATAACCAGAGCAAAATGGTCTGGAGGTGTAGAACATCTGAGTTTAAACCCCAGTTCCACCAAAATAAAATAAAATAACAATTTAAAAAAAGATCTTCCTGTTCTGTTCTCCTGCTACATTTTTTTCATTCTCCTGTATTTATGGACATCTTTTCCTATATTAGCACATATAAGTCTTATTCATTTCTTTTATGTATTATGTGGGTTACATGAATATTCCACAATTTATAAAACCAGTACCCTATTATTGAACAATTAGATTATTTAATTTAACACAATGCTGGAAGAAACAAATTTTTAAGCACTCACCTGTTTCTTGGAGGTGTGGCTCAAGCAGTAGAGCCCCTGCTTTGCAACTGTGAAGCCCTGAGTTCAAGCCCGAGTCCCACCACCAAAAAAAAAAAAAAGACAGAAAGAAAAGTATGACCTAGCTTGGAAAATAAACAAAAAACCTAACTTGGAAAGTTTTTCTTGAATTTATGTAGATTTTTAATATTTTACATATATACCCTTTGTTTTATATATTACAAATATTTTTCCTATTTTGGCCTTGCACTGGCTAAGCAGGCATTCAACCAGTATCTTGCTATGTACCCCAGACTGGTTTGGTCTTGATTCACAATTCTCCTGCTTCAAGTTCTGTCTCACTGTTTTCAAACACTTTTTTTTTTTTTTTTTTTTGGTGGGACGGGACTTTTTTAACTCAGGGCTTCCAGCTTACAAAGCAGGTTCTCTACCACTTGAGCCGCACTCCAGTTCTGTCTCACTGTTTTGTTACTATGGTTTTATAGGATTGACTTATTTATTTATTGGTGGTGGTGGTACTGGAGAGTGATCCCAGGCCTCATGCACACTAGGCAAGCGTGCACTGTACTACTAAACTATATCCCCAGCTTTTTTCGGGGGACTGGGGTTTGAACTCAGGGTGTCAGGCTTGCAAAGCAGGCACTCTACCACTTGAGCCATACCTCCAGCCCATTTTTCTCTGGTTATTTTGTTTTTGTTTTTTGGTGGTATTGGGGTTTGAACTCAGGGCCTCAAACTTGCTAGGCAGGAACTCTACCACTTGAGCCACTCCACCAGCCCTTGCTCTGGTTATTTTGAAAATGGGGTTTCATGAACTATTTCATTATGTAGCCCAGGCTAGCCTTGGACTTGTAACCCTTCTCCCTCTGCCTCCTAAGTGGTGGTTTTATAGGATATTTCTATTGTAGAAAGGTAAGTTCCTCCTAATTACTGCTTTTTTTCTTCACTTGATTTATTGTTTTTTTGGCATTTGTTTTTCTATATGAGCTTTATTATAAATTTTCAAGTTTCCTGCAAAATAATGTTAAGATTTATTTAATCATTAGCCAATTCTAAAAAGAATTGCATTATAGCAAGTGTGAAAAGTTGAGACAGAATGAGATATCACAAACAGAAAGAAAAATTGACAAATGACATTATTTGCAATATTTTGGTTGCACATCTTGGAAATCCTACCAGAATTAACATAAGGTACTCAAGGAGAGTTCAATATAGGGGCCATTACATGCATATACAAATATAATTATTATTTGTTTTCTCAGTGGCAAGACTAAGCCAATATAGCTGTTTCCCATTGAGGCCTATCGGGTTGAGGAACCCTCAGCTTTGCCCAGAGAGACAGGGTAAACTTCAGACACTAAGATTTTATAAACCTCAATGGGTAGGAGCTGAAAAATTAAAACCTCATGTAAAAGCTGGAAGTCATTTCCATCTGGCAAAAATGAACACTATTAGTCTGTAAGCAGTTTGTTCCTTTATTCTGGGACAGCCTCCTGAAATGTCTTCTTATAATGTAAGATGTCTCAAAGAATGAGGGAGGATGGAAACGCCTGGACAGGGTAACTTTTGGTCCACGTGCTTGATGGTTGTTTCCTGGCTTTTATGAGCACTGGTAGGCAGAAGGCTGAACAGTAACAATGCCTGCCTTTTTTTTTTTTTTTTTGGCAGCACTGGGATTTGAACTCAAGTATGGGACTTTTTCTAAGCATCGGTTCTCTGTGACTATGTTTGCCTCCCAAGAAGCAGGTATTGGCAGGCAGAGTTGCTCAAGTGGTAGAATGCCTGCCTATTGAGTGTGAGACCCTGAATTCAAACCCTAGTACTGCAAAAAAGTTTTTTGGTTTTTTAAAAACATTTAAGTTTTTTTAAAATTACATTTTAAGTTGTCACTGGATCCTGCAAAATATATAGCCAATCCTGCACTAGAAGTTGATGAAAGTGTTTCCACAAGATACTGTGAGACTCTGAGCACACTGTAAGTCAGTTTCAGTGGGATCAGAAGATGAGAGAAGACTAATCTTCCAATCTTTTCTGGAATTCAGGAATAGTCTTTTCTCTGAAGATTGGTGGCTATTTTTTTCGTAGTGAAAATGGAAGTAAAGTTTATTAGGAAAAGAATATACTTTCAACAGACTAACAGCAGGTCATCTCTAGAGTGAATGACAATGACCACTGGGACTGGCAGAGTGGCTCAAC